ATACATCTTGAAAAACTGTTCATGCTTTTTGATACTGCGTGTTCTCTCCCTGTCTGTAGCTTATAACTGTTTTGGCTCCTATTGCGATTGCTTCGCTCCAGATTTTCTGTTTGAAATGGACGTTGAGTTGTAGGCTTTTACTTCGTTTCCGCTTTCGGTCAAATATACGAGTATGTCTATAAGTGATTTATTCTGTGGTGGAATTCATGTTCGTTTACTTATCCCTTTATTTTCTTTGTTTTGTTCTTTTCATATCTAAGCCTATTTTTTTTGTTCATAATTTAATGTACATGTATACTTCCATTGCTTGTCATTCTGTATGTGTACTTGGTATAGTTGTTATCTTTGTTTACTTATATGTAAATTTCTTATTTATTTCGTATTAGTTTCACCTTTCTTCTTTGTTTCTATACCATATTATAGCTTGAGATTTTATATTTATTCTAGCGTCTTTTGATATTATGTTCTTTCTTACGTGTTGTACGTATTGTAATTTATATTAGCACTGTGTAGCAGCAGGTTTCACTTCAGATTCACTTATTTATATAAGCTCGTACCTTGACAAGTGTGGGTGTTCTTATCATCTGACACCTTAACATTTTGCGTATTTCCTTTGTTATTTGGTGCAACTGTATGAAATTTTCACAGATCCTTCTGCACATTTAGGGAATTTGATCGTTTCCGCTGACAACCATGAACTGCGTAACAAGATGGCGTCATATAGGACGGAACAGAAAGCGTTTATTATTAAATCGTTCTACTCTTCTAGCGGTCACTGTGTTGCTGTGGAGAAACAAAGTCATCGAGGGTTCTTTTTTATTGCTGCAGCATCGACAGATATTATCTACCGAATTATTAAAAGGTGTGGGGAAACAGGAGGTGTATGATAAACGTGTGAAGGGACGCCAACTCAGCGCATCTGATCGTACGAAAATGTTTGTTGGCACAGTACTAGAGGCAATAACACAAAGTCCAACGAAAGTTGTTTAACGTTTAGCAGGAAGGACTGAGGTCTTAACCAGCAATGCATGGAAGTGCTGCACTGATTACTTGTTGCTTCCATACAACGTTCATCTGAGTTAGCCGTTAGATGGAATAGCATTTTTTTGCGAGGGATTATGTAGAACCACTGGAGGACAATCCAGGTGTCTTGAATGTAATGTAGTTTTACAGTGAAGCACTCTTCTACCTAGATTGTTACATGAAATAGCAAATTATCCGATTTAGGGCCTCAGAAAATTTAAATCATATCGTTGTAAACTCACTACATACAGAGATAATTATATATATATATNAAAAATACAACACCCAAAACACACACAAAAGGAAACCAGCAGTCATGGATGCGTAATGTCATTTACTTCACTTCACTTCACTGCAATTTTTTTTTCAATTTTTTTTATTCAAATAATTTTATTCAAACAAATTTTTGTATGTAGCCCGATCGTTAAAAAATTCCTACAGTTGCATTCAAATAACAAACGCTTTACACAAATCTTAATGTATCAGCTGATAAAGAAGCACTCTGTATGTACAGTATTATATTACTTTCATGTTATGTCTTTTTAAGCGATTTGTATGTGGTATTCTGCCTACACAACGCACGTTCGTAGTTCTATTCAGTGTGTTATTGTAGCGACAAGTTCCTGTTTGGCCATCGTGAAGCTGTGTTGATTTATTACTGCAGATTATTTAGTTAATATGTACCTCAATGATAATATTTTAAAACGAACTTACACACTTCAGTTAGGCATCTTACATCTTGTATATTTATTCTTTTATCATGTGCCCTTTATACAGGTAATTAAGAAACCCTTTGCTTTTTATGAAGTAACAAGTTAACACTGCCGTGTCCCTATCTTAAGTCAGAGAAAGTCAGTCCGCATTGCTATTTCCTATTTAAATAAGGCATATTTTATTATTATCCTACCGATCATGCCTAGGTCTTCCATGTGGCCCTCTTCCTTCATGTTCTCAGATTAAATGTTGTCTACATTTTCATCCCTCATGCACATGGCATACTCTGTCCATCTCATCCTCGTTGATGTGATTACTCCGAAGAATGCGTGTAAGAAGCCGCCTCATATGCAGCTGTTTTCATCGCCCCGATACTTACCTTTCTGTTGTTTCCGGACATTTCGTTGAATAAGATAAACTTAAATTGTTATTATGCTAAATGAAGTACCACACTATAAGAATGCATGACAAAATTGAGGTTTATTTCTGCACATTTTTTACCTCGTTATTGTGTGAGGAATGGAGCAGCCCTCCTGCCCTATGTGTACATGAATATATCAGGCATGTTGTTACTGATCAGGCTGANCGCATGACAAAATTGAGGTTTATTTCTGCACATTTTTTACCTCGGTTATTATGTGAGGAATGGAGCAGCCCTCCTGCCCGTATGTGTACATGAATATATCAGGCATGTTGTTACTGATCAGGCTGATGTCCATTCTGCGACACTGTCTAATCGAAATGTCTTGTGATTTAGCTTTTTCTGTTCGTCTTACCTTTATCAAGTCAATGAAACTAGAAATGCTAGGTGAAGATTATAACGAAGTTTAACGTCATGTAATTTTCTCCAGTTCATATGTTAACCTCTCTCTTATATCCGGATGCTCTGCTGTGAGTACTTGGTCTGCTCTGAGTAGTGGATGATTGCACAGATGTTCTAGAAACTTTTCACCTTTTCTGGAAGCAAAATTTCATCGCCGTGTTCAAAGCAGCGCACAACTGGTCACCACCCTGAGTATTTTTTGCTCCGATGGACCTATTCTCCTAAGCTATTTGTTCTCAGACATCTTCAAACCCTCTTCTCCCTCGGGGGGGGGGGGGGGGGGGGGGGCGGTGCNGAGAATTTCATACCCATAAGATCAACAGGTAAAATTGTAAAATTGTAGCGCAATTTTCTTTATTTTGAAAAATGTAAATAGGCTTATGCGGTCACCGTCCCCTCTGTATCACTGTGTATCCTCCCCTTAACTTTTGAATGGCTGAACCAGTCTTCATGAAACTTTGTATGTATATCATGGAACATGAGCCTATCTCGACGGCATGAATAGTACTCGTAAATCCTTCCCATCAGTCTCTGTGTCTATATGTGTATCCCCCTACCGTTGCTAGGTAACGGTTCAAAAACATTTCCCCTATCATTGGTAGGCAAGGGCTGGGTAAGAATGTTATCGCGGCAAAGACTACATACGTGACAATAGAAAACTTGTTGCACACATCGTTTTGTATGCTGTTCGTGTCGTATTGAGGAGACTGGGCGAGTAGTTCTCCAAGAATGTCTTGCTATTTTAAACTATAGACTTTTAGAAAGGAGAGGCGTACATGAAAAATATGAACTGAATGAAAAAAAATGATTCCATGAATTTAATCTGATTTCTGTCTTCTCCTGAATATAATTTTCATATTATCTTTCCAAATATTTGTAGTTTATCAAATTTTGTAATGGTTTATACGTCAATTACGATGTCTTGTGCTTATGCTTGCCATGGGCTTTCTTTACAGTTATTTCCAGGCCATCCTCCTTAATGGAGTGTAATAAGGTTTCTGTGTGTTTTGATAACGTTCGTGTTTTTAACCAGGCAATTAACTCTGTCAGTGCAGACAGAAGATGGTCATGTCCCATTCAAGTGCAACCCCAAATGAGTCTCTCTTACCTTCCTAGTAGCCTATTCAGATATTCCTCTTTAGTACTTCAGAATGTGCATAACATAATCAGAAAATGTTGACAGGTGTTTGTACGAATACAAGTTTTCGGAAAATAATGGAATAATTCTCTTCCACCTCTGTAGGCAGTAACAGCCGTGTCACCGCTGCTCTTGCGATTATTCTCTTTTGCTCTCCCGCTCTATGCTTCTACTCTCCCTTCAGTGAGAACAGAATGGATTTGTTGCAGGAGATTTAATGACGCTTACACCATCACAGGGATCACTTAGCGTCGAATGATATGAGGGTACGATCGCATTCTATGAAAATGTTATCCCAGCACTCGTCTAGAGTGACTGAGGAACACCACAAGAACTGAGTGACGACTGTCGGTGTCACGGCCATGATTTGAAACGGGCATCCCTCATGTGCTAATCTAGAGCTCCACCGCTTCAGCTTACGTACTTGTAAGCGCGAACAGAAGTGATGGTACAAACATTGAGCTTATGAAATATACAGGATTGGCTCTTAGTTACATAGACTTTGGATTTTTTTTTTTTAGTTTTTATTGCTTTTACGGGCGAAGTCATACAGAAGTAACAGAAGAATCCTAATCATCACATTCTAAACCCCAAATTAACAAAATTAATACAGTTTTTTTTTACTGATGATCGGGTGAAAGTTACAGATTGTGAAGAAAATTACAAGATTCTGCACGTAGATTTATCAAACGAGTCAAGAAATATAGTTGTATTTTAATTACATCAACAAAGAAAGCTAACTTATAAAGGAAAAAACACACACTCTCTCTCTCTCTATGACTCTATGGACCTTGGCCTCTTTGTCAGTTTCTTAATCCAGTACACAGTCGGTAGGACTCCTTCAGAATATCGAGGGATCATCGCAAGGCCTCTACTTACACACAGAACAAGATAAACCCAGAATAGACGTACAAAGACGTCCATGCTTCAAGTGGGATTCGAACCCACCGCCCCAGTGTTCAAGCGGGCGAAGACCGTTCATGCCTTAGACGGCGCGGCCACTGTGATCTGCAGGAAAAAACTCTCTAAAATACTTATTATATACTCGTATCATAAAACTACTTAGCAAGTAAATAATATTCATTGCTTAGAACTAATTATTTCAAATTTTGAGAATATAGATTTGGAAAGGAAGCTGAGCAAATGTAGCCACATTTATGGGACGATAAATAGAGTATTGAAAAAAGAGACGAGGAAGGAAACACAGAATTAGTTTTATAAAACTATGGCTATCCTAACATGAACAAACAGCTCTAGCGACAGAAGATAGAAACAGCATAAAATATGTTGTTTTTTTTTCAGAATATCGAGGGATGAGCATTGACGGATGCGGTGATTAAGTAAGCTAAAGTAAAATTATCCTTGTGCTTACCTAATTAAGCGTATGTGGAAGTGGATGTATAGGTCCAAATTTCTTGACCTTGATACTAGCTAGAGGTGAGTGAACAGCTTCACGCCCCGGCCGCTTTACCATCAGGAAAAGAGTGCCCGTACCCATTGGATAGGAGGTTTGGTGGACCCCAGAGCCGGTCTGGACGACGTGGAGAAAATTCTTGACCTTACCGGGACTCGAACACCGACCTATCGGTCTTCCAGCCCATATCCAGTCGCTATACCGGCTCCCAAATTAGGAATACTAGACTTAACTGGATTCGTCATGTTGGAAGACTGTGACCTGAGCGCTTTCCAGAACACTTCATGGGCTAAATCCCGAGACGAGCAGGAGCCGGTGGACGCCGGAAGTTAGGCTGGAAGCATCAACCTGTCTTACAGCGGAACTGAAAGGACCCAAAGGCCCACACACTGAAGCTGATGGCGATATTGTAGCATGTAACTTAGTTGTTATTATTACAGGAATTTTGCCTGAGGAATGAACGCGCAGTAACTATTTAGCTTCTAATATTAGCCACTCAATGTTTCAACCGTATTTTCATAAGCAATATGATACAAAACTTGAGCCTCAGATGTAACATAAAAAGAACAAAATTGTTTAAGCTTATGCAAATAAATAAATCTGTGTTATAAGAATGTGACACAGGCTACAAGACATTGCGTATAATTTAAGCTTAATACGAGTATAACAAGCTTTATATTATATGAATATTAATTAAACATATGTAAATTGTTTCAGTTATGTATAATAAAGGAAAGTTCTTATGTAGTTTGCCAAACTTCATTAGATAAAAAATTCATGACATAATTTATGCCCATGGAAATATATGAAAATATTTTATTTTGAATCTCTCTTCCCACAGCGGGTATTTTCATGAGTTGTTCTAGTGCGCACAAAATTAGCCTTGTTTTGAAAGTGAAAGTGGGCCAACACGTCCATGTAAGCTTTGTATTGAAAGGAAACATAGAGGCTCCCTGGCAGAATAATTCAGTTCATGAGGAAAGTGTCCTATCATTTAATACGAGTAGGACACTCAGAATATGTGTAACTGTGCTGAAGTGTTTCCTTATTCATTGGGGACTGCATTCAGAATAACCAAACGAACCATGCGATTAACCTACGATATTTGGTATTCAATGAAGCCTGAGCCTATGAATATCCGGGACACTGAGGTGCAATGGGGATACTTTCATTCCAGTTACGTAACACACACACTGGGTCTTTGTGTAGCGACGAAGGCTTACAGCTACGAGCAGGAAGATATCCTGTAATGGCTGAAACAAGGGTGAATAAGGAACTTTTTGAAAGAAACTCAAAGGGTAGAAGAACATTTGGACATTTTATATTGATATAGGAGCAAGAGGCAGATAATTATTTACGAGGCCGAAAATGAAGATATGGCTGCAAGAGACGAAGAGAGAAGAACAGGCATCTGTCGTAAAGGCGACCAAGGTTCTTAGAGGACCGCAAATCCAAGGACTAAGTGAGAATGATCTGCTACGTTTTCAAACACTTTTCTTGTCATATTACATAGTGGTCTTTAATAACAGGAGGGATACGATCTAAAAGGTTCTGACGATGGTGAATAACACAGAATTACTGAGTTTTTGGACTATTGTCGTCGTCCGGAATTCTATGAAATAGAAAACACAACGTTTCGGAAACTAGATCTGTTTCCGTCTTCAGGTGACCTAACATCAATCACTGGTCCAGTGAATGAGGTTAGTTCTTTCTAAGGAGTCCAATTGAGTAGATGTCTTCCTTCCTCACCTGAAGACGGAAACAGGTCCACTTTCCGAAACGTCGTGTTTTCTATTTCCTAGAATTCCGGACGATGGAAAAAGTCCAAAAAACCCAGTAATTCTGTGACTTCTAAACTGTTTGTCACATGCAAAATTTTTTAAACAATGAATCGTCCTTAAGAAGATCGGTAAGTTGGGCCTTAGCTTCATGTAAGGTCAAAATTACTGAAATAGTGCGGTAAACTCGTGGGAAAAGACTAATACAAAGGCCACGGAGACGCTGGGTATACGAGTAACATCTTGAAGCCGGCATAGACATTAAGCTGCCTAACACTTGAAGCCAAGAAGGAAAAAGGAGTTAGGTTGTGGACTCTATAAGCGAGCGTCTTTATCCTTGAGACTTTAAATTTCGGCAGATAAGCATAGCGGTGTCTGCAGAGTCGTTGTAAAGTATAACGAGACAGGACAGGAACTGTTTCAATGATTTATGATCTAAACTCGGATATGTTTGCTTGTTCTTCTCACAGATTTGTTTGCCTTTCTGGTAGTTTCTATCGCATATATTTAAGTAGCCTGGTGTATTTCTGAATTTTGGATACCAAATAACGCAAAAGTATTCAAATCTAGGTAATACTTTTAATAGCAAGCTTCCTTCCTGAAAGAGAACATCCTTAATGTTTCTGTATTTTAGTGACATATATGCTTATAAGCATATACGTCTTCAACTGATAAGAGTGCCACGGGTAAATAATAGATCATACCACTGCAGCTCAACAAATTTATCATTTTCATTATCGTAAATATTGGATATGACCTCAAAATTTCGCATTACCTCCATATTTATATTTGTTGACTGATAAACCTTATTTTACAGGGACTTTGCACGTATGTTCCTCTTTCTTTTTTTTACATATTAAATTTCACATGCCTAGTTCCAATGATTCAGTAGTTACCGCCATAAAACCGGAAAGGTGAATATCCATTTCATACAGTGCGATTTCTGTTGTTTTTATTTTAAGAGGCTAGACAGAATATCCGTAATTTTCGAGGGTCTGTTTTCATGGCTCTGCGCTAAATTGCGTTAGTGTCGCTCCCATTTAACTAGTTCGTGCGCCCCATATATTTAGGCTCAATACAGACTCAAGGTAATTGTAAAGTATGTGGTCGGTGTGGAATCCAGTGGCATAGAGTATAGAGTACGAGTATGTGTCTGTCTTGTCGCCAGAATGCAGGGAAAATATCATGACTTGAATATAGGTAAGAGCAGCGGCTGTGGCTAGATAATGCGCGAAACATACACGTAAACAACAACAACAACAATAACTTGTATATTCCATCTAGCTGCTCTTGAACTACTCACTCTAGACCAAGAAGAAGGAGAAGAAGAATGTTCCCCCTTTTTCAACAGAAATTATGCAGAATGAATATTCACTGTGGGTTTTGGAATTCCAGTTTTTTTTTTTTTGTTTTATTTAGATATTTGTTTTTGTTTGGTTAAGGCACTATGCTACAAGTTGGAAGGTCGCGGGTTCAAATACCGATGAGGTCATTGGATTTTTTTCAATTCACCTAATCCTTCCGGCCGCACTATGGCCCTGGGGTTCACTCAGCCTCTAACAGAAATGAGTACCAGGAATTAAATATATAATTTTCCTGGAGAGTAAAGCGCGGCCGGCGCGTAAGGCTGACAACCTTACCGCCATCTTTAAGCCGATTGTCTAGATAATGTGGGAACCTCAACGTCTCACAACCCTATGGGCCTTCATTGCCTTACTTTTTACTGTATTTGTTTTTGTTTGTCCTGACAGAAATAGAAAGAAGCAAGACAAGCAGTATGGACATGAACAGCTCTTGGGGGATCGATCACATTCTCGACCTGGATTTGCTACCTTGCGTTGCTGATATCACCAACATGTTGGTGACTGTTCATGCCTTCACCTGGCTGCAGACACTGCTCGTGATGACTCTCCTGGCACTCATTTCTTACTGCATCTTCCTGCCCATGAATTATGTCAGAGTAAGTCATTAGCATAAGTACTGGTCAGCCCCATTCCATTGAAGCCATTAGAACTGCATGCATGTAATCTGCCTGCTCGTTGTTTATTTACATCGGTCACCGATGATGAATGATTGAATTAGCTGGCACTAACGATTCAATTTATTTTTTTGCCTATATTATCATCTGGAGTTATCTGAAAATTAAATATTTCAAAAGGCCATAATTCTTTATCGCAAGGTGCGTTGTTACTCTTGTTTTATATATGGTTATCTGGAACGTTCTTTATATTGCCAATTATTTTGATCCGTGAAATATACGAAGATTCCGTGTCGAGGCGGATTAGAATATTTCCACCGTAAAAGGAGATGGAGATGGAAGCCAGTGCCTGGAGATATAACTGGGCAACCCTATCACTGAGGGACACAAAGACAGAGACCTGGTCCTCGACTCTGAAGGTTGGACGCAAGGATCACGGCGTTGCCCTTAAAAATATTGTTACGAAATTCAAAGAAAAGAAAATCTAATAACAAATCTGGCAGAATATTCTGAAGAAGGCTATGCCACAAGGGGCTGTTTGCCAATGATGATGATGAAATAAATGGTGTCTCTCTCCTGGGAAAGGTCGCGGGATCGAATCCCGATAAGGTCATTGGATTTCTCAATTTACCTAATCGTTCCAGCCGGACTATAGCCCTGGGATCGTCTCAACCTCTAACAGAAATGAGTACTGGGAATTTTCCTAGGGGGTAGAAAGGCGGCCGGCGCGTAAGGCTGGCAATCTTACCGTCATCTATGAGCCGACTCTCTAGAACAGTGCTGTCCAAAGTTCTTATGTACTCGGGCACAATTCACTGATGCCTATGGAGGTGCGGGCGCCACCACACACTACTACTACTACTACTACTACTACTACTACTACTACTAACAATAATAATAATAATCAAC